TTTTTACTTTACTTTAGCTAACAAATCATTTCAATAATTGGCCAAATCACTTCAATGGCTCTGTTTTGTACGCGTAATAAATTCAATGAATACATCGTCCTTTCGTACTCCGACTATCAGGAAGGGAATTATACAATTTAATTAGTATTGCAAGCTTAGTAGCGAATATCGTAGAAAAAGATGATTACGAAATGAATAAAGAATTAGGTAAAGGTGTTTGATGAATATAATTTTTGGTTTCTTTTCACTGAATAAATTGATAATTAATAAATCTTATACGAAATTAACCAGATTTTATACAAAAATATGGAAAGTGGGAATATTACTTTTGGGATTTATATACCAGTATTAATTTAATTAAAAATGATTAATAAACATAGTTCTGACATCTACTATTGCTAATAATATTAAGAACTTACTAAATATTCACTAAACAACAGAATAACTGAACACAATGAAAATATAGCCTTCAAGTAGATTTAATTATTTTAAAGAAATTTTAAAGATTTTCATGTTCTACATACTACAACAACATATACGTAATTTTAAAAAGAATACAAAAATCCTATTATATTTAGTATCTCTAGACATGGTTTAAGTTCACACTATATACAAAGTCTTTGTAGCTTAATTTACTATTGGAAAGAATTTAATATGTATTTATTTAAATTAATGCAATTTATGTATTGAAAATCTGTCAGTCAAAATTTTTTGTTTGGAATTATATATTCAAAATGAAGAGGGTGTGCCGGATAAGTTATGTCAGTTTCGTATCACTGATTGCGTTAATGAAAAAACTGATACAAATTTTTGAAAGCCGCAAAATAATATTGGAAGGCACTGAATTATATGACTTCATTGAACGTCATTGTCAATCAATAAATATTCATGTTAGTTATAATTGAACGCGTGTTTGGTATTTGATTGGAATGACTATTAAGTGCTGACTGGTATCCTCACAGACCGCACGCATTCAAAGACATACAAACGAAGGAAAAAATGCAAATGTTTATTAATTGATTCGACTTAAGAATATCGAATTTATGTGAAACTTACGCATGGAGTCCTTAAATGTGACAAACTCAAATTTGAATTTGATTTGATTTCTTTAGCAGTACTTACAAAAATTATTGAATTTAGTTTGGCTATAGTATGCAGCCTATTAAATACACTCCCAACTTTCTAGAAAACTAAGTTTATTTTTAAAAGTTTATAATATTAATTAAAACTGCTGATAGAAACTTTTTGTTGCTCATAAAATATATTCCTTGAGTTTTTACAGAAAATAAAATACTTCATCTTAAATGTGCTTAAAGGGATTTGAACCGAGTCATTACATTACGCCTAAACATAACCACATGTCCATGTCGAAATCGCACTCACAGCATTGAAATAATCTCTATGGACCTTCGATGTACATAAAAACTGGTTAAAATCGTGCTAACGACAATAATAAAATTTTTATTATTTAGAAATATCGATAAGACGTGTACTGTAGTAGGGAGAATACGTTTCTTTATCATATAAATTTTTGATTTAATTTTAATTCATTAGAGGATAGGATGGACAATATTGGTATGGAAATTCGATACAATACTAATACAGCGCCTAGGGTATTAGAAAAATGTTTATTGACTGACAACAATTTTCACATGATTCTTATAAAATGGGGAAAAAATAAAACAAGGAAAGAAAAAGGCTTGGATCATGGTATCCAAATAAATTTCATAATTAGAGATATCATCCGTTCATACTGTAGCTCTTGCTTGCAATTAATAGCATAATTCGTTCTAATTGTTTAAATAAATTTATGTTATTACAAAAACCTAACTAAACTAAAAAAGTATGTTTTTAATTAAAAAATTTTTTTCAATCCAAATATGTAAAGGAAAATTAAATTTTTTGCATGGAAACTAAATGAAACCTCGTTTATGAATTTACTGATATTTTTCAGGTTATATTACAACAAAATTCCACGTTAACTTGATTAAAAAAGTTTACCTGTGTATTCCTGTGCAGTTTTAAAGATAAACTTCGGTCTGATTTTAAAAGAACTGCGATTTACTTATCTTGATTTATAAGGATGTACTTAGAAATCGCGTACTTCACAAGAAGAAGAAATAAGGTGGATATATTTATAATATGATAGAGAGAGACAAGCGACAAAATTTTAAATAAATTATTTTTTAATTTTTTATATTTATATAGCGAAATAATTTACCAACATACTTAACTTACGTTTCATATGAGAGTTCAATCAAATGCGGTGTACGATATGTTAAAATGTACAATATTTAAATCACTGCAGGTGTAAAATCAATACAAACCAGAAACTTATGTCAATTTCTAAATGAAGTACTCTGCTACAATCAACTTTGGCATGTATTCGAAAAAACTATTTTATATTATTCACAAAATAATACGTCATATATTTTAGTCTTAAAGCATATATTGTAGTTCCTTCTTCCTATTTAGCTCTAAATAAGTTTATTAACGAGCCCTGTAAAGGAAAATAAGGGAAATAAGATCACTGATTAGATTGTCTGACTGCCATTGCCATTAAAAATAGTGTTGTGAACAACAATCACTTTCTGGGTTATAAATTTCAACAAAAATGGCAATCGTTTTTTCTTAGTTGCCTATTAACGAGCATTAAATTGCAAATAGCATGTGACAGATTCATTTGAATTTGCACATCGATAACAATATTTTTAATACATGACTACGAAAAGTGCACCAAATCAGGCAATCAGGGTAAAAGGTTACAGACTAGGCATCTCTCCCAATTACTGTACTACTTGCTATATGTTATATGCAATTATCTAAAAAGTTTTTTATTAAATGAAAAGTTGTCTAATGCATGAGAAATAGTCTGACTCCAGCAATAGTTTGTATCGATTTAATTGTATATAGTAAAAAGTGTTTGTTTTGAGTTTTTTTAATTCTTTTATATACTTCTTACATATATTTCGAGAATAAAGAAATTAATATTTTTGGAAAAAAAATAATAACGTTATACACAGAATTTCGTTCCACATAACGAAATAATTGTGTTCCACAAAAAAAGTTACAAATCGTATCAACTGAAATATTAGTATCGGTTCAGCAATCAGTCATTACAATCTTTATTGCTAAAACTAAATGCATCACAAGTGAAAGTAGTTGCCAACTCATGCTATTTGTCTGTTTTCTATTAATACCTTTTACCATCATTCTCTATGAAAAAACGTCGTATTGTCAACCATATTTTTCAATAATTACGATCCACTTTTATTTTGCACATATTTTCCACATTGAACCAGAACGTAAATTCAATTGAGTGACAATTATTAGTTCATTGGATTGTTGTTGATAGTTGATCAGATCATTGTAGCTATTCCTTCATGTAATGAGCTTTCAAGTGATTTCATCTTTTAATTAGGAGTACTTTCAATAAAGAACTTTTTAATGACTCCTTTTTGGTAGTGATGTAAGAGCTCAATTTATTTCCGTGTTTCTTAGGCAATAAGAGATTTTTCAGACTTCTATATAAGGCTGATGATGAATGTATATTAATACTTATTATCTTGAAAATATTTATTGATATTCTTTAATATTTAATCACTCTTGATTTTTCTGTAATTGTTCTTAATTCCCTTTAAAGAAAAACCCCTATTGCTTTTTCCAAAAAAAATACACAAATTCCTTACCCAATAAATACAGTCAGCGACAAAACTCTACATACACCCCCCATTTTTGCTAGCTCGTAAATCCAAGGACATAATAGAAAAAAGTAATGATACAGTTTTGTTTAGAACTGTTTTTTAATAATAATAAACAAAAGAAAATCCATTCATCAATATAAATTAACAAAGTTATTCGAAAAAAACCTAAAAAAACCATTGACAAAAGTCTACATACACTTCATTGGTTGTTAGATATAGTCGACAGTAATTTAAATGTTAAACGGGAAAGTACCGTTTTTCATATTTCATGCTTATGGCATGAGTCATACATTTATATAATGCACTTAGTTGTGCTTTGAGAGTGGTATTTAATTGACACGATGGGTTCACGAAAATAATTTCAAGTGATATGCGAAATCTGGTTATTAAGCATAGAAATGAAAAAAAACCTTATGGTAAAAGTATCAAAATTAATAAATGTGACTCGATCAACAGTTCAGACGATAATCAAAAATTATAAAAATACTGGTTCTATTGAAAATAAGCCTCGCAGTGGCCGCCTAAGGCAACTCACACGTAG